TTGTTTTAGTATATGTTACGCGATATTTTATTCGTGTGTATTAAAATTAATTATTATTGTTATTAAAGTTAATCTTTGTATATCTTATTCTATTATATTATAGCAAAATTTAGGAACGAGGCATTCCATATTAGTCCTCAGTGGTGACGACGCATCTAAATTTTGATTCTTAATCGAGGATAGATGTAAATGTCTATGGGGAGCAGCACCCACTTGCCATCAGGTGAACTGTGTATTAGTTTGTAACCCACATCCTAAAAAAAGAATTCTCGCGTTTACGTTTCACTGTTTTCTAAACTATAAAAAAACAAAACGTCCACACCGAATATCGATAATTAAGTTTTTATGTCTATTATACCAAACAATTTATGCCTCATTTTAAGTTTCTTACTAACCTAGAGGTGACCCAGGTTTTGAATTGAAAATTTGAATTTAATGAGGTTTCGGGCGCTTTTCAGCACCCATGGTCACGGGGGACTGAGGTGTGTGACGTCCCGATGTCATTGTTAAACCCGGCGTACCTTCAGCTTTTTTAATTACCGTTTATGGTCCGATCTATGCAAAATGAACTGACTATGTCCTGAGGTCTTGCAGTGGTATGCTTGGGTTTAGTTTTAATTTTATTGATTATAGGGTCCCAAGCAGGCGGTAGTACCCAGCCTCCTTCTTTATTGATGTTTTTTAATTTCAATAGCCTTACGTATCATCCTTGTTAGGAATCGGTGTTCTTTCGCGAGGATTTGTTGTGGTCTATCAAATCTGATGTACATCATGTAGTTTTAATCAATGTGTAGTGTTGGCGTAAATATAAGAAATCATTATATAGGGATTCCTATTAAGTATGCAAGTTACAGGTGTATAGGTATTGATAGCTTTTGAGATATTGGAGGGGGGGGGGGGGGTGCTAAAGAATCATTGCTGAGTGACTAAATATACCTATCTATAAAACAATTCAAATGTAACCAGGAATATCTTTGTGAATTTAGAATACTCCTGCATACCTCTCTAGCTCCAGTCTTCGTCTTATACAAAAATCGTGAACCTAATTTGATTAAAACCACGCTTTGCTGGTTAAGTTCACACGAATGAATGATAATTATAGGTTTGATACACAAACTCTACCCGTGTTTAAAATAAATAAAAATTATTTTTTAAGCATTTAATACACGTAACGAATGAGTCACAATACCAACAATACGGAGTTAGAATTTTTTTATTGTAAGTAAATAAAGATAAGCGTACGTTCCAACTTTCAATGACCACGTGTGTTGACGTACCTACATGAGATTCTGTAAAGATTTGTAGCAGGGGTGTCATCATTTAAATTGCACAATTATTGTTAAACAAATTGTACTTAAACCTTTCCTAGTTACATCGGTTTTTACCTTGGATATTTGATTATACAAGTTTGTTATTTTAAGGTTTGCATTTCCTTTTAAAAAAAATTACCATATAGAAGAGCAGGATTTGGATAAAGGTAAACTTTTTGCAGGGCTGTTTTACGATTTATCACGACATTGAGAATTAGCTTTACGCAGTATTACTATTGGATGTTTTATAAACCTATAAAATCCTTGTAACTTTTTATCAAAAAGGTCGCAAATACAAATATTTGTGTAAAGATAATCCGTTTCGTATTTAGTTTTCACATCTTGAGTTACCAAACCAACAAATTAATACTACGGCAAGATCTTATCTTCGCACATAATTCCCACAATTTTAAGGACGTAAATTTTTTCACATCACAATACGTGATAATACTAAAAAAATGTTTAGTGTTGCTTAGTAAATAGTTAGCAATAGTTATGCTAAATGGTATGACATTTCGACATAGTCGCGAGCTAAACAATAACTTGGCATATTTACATTAGGTTTTATCTATGGTCTACTTTTAATGGCGGACATTATTTCAACCGTAAAGCAGTATCTGTACGCACATAAAGAGCGAAAGTGGTGGTACATAGAACGGTGTTATAAAGCAATCCGCGGCCATGTAACTATAATAACGTTGACAGCGCGACCGGTTTGTAGATTTGCGAAACATATTGCAATGTTCGCCAACCATCCATTCTGTTTATACAAAGACGATACATTCCAATAAAAATACACTAAATTGTATGTGTATTCAAAATATATAACCTATTATTTATTATATACAACACAATAGTTACAGTTTACTAGAATTAACAGTTCGGTTAGGTGCGTCAAGTTTCTACAATCATTAAAAAGCTTATAGAAAACTATAAAAGTTAAATAAATGTAATATCTCAACGTTAAGTCAATGACTGTCAAGTGGCTTTCATTTATTTCACAGTTTTCTATAAGCAATGACGGTTGTAGAAAGTAAATTGGCTATTGGATCCCTGTAAGCTGCAGGGATCTCAAAAATAATCATAGCTTTAATCTTGGCTAACAGATTACTTATGTGTGAATTACACCATTTAATAAAAATAACTAAAAGATATAATTATAGCAAATATGTTGAAAACAGCAACAGCATTGAGGAAAAAATCCTGCATGGCTAAAAAAATAAAATACCTACGGGACATGCGAATTTGTGAAGTCCGCCAACACACACTGGACCAACGCGACGAAATCATAAATATTTGTGTAATTATTTTAAATTTTGTCAGTAATTATTTTTAATTTGGTAAACCTCATTCTTAAATTGTCGCAACAAAGAGAGGAAAAATGTACTATATATACTCCGACCTTGTTCATGCCATAAAAGAAAAGCAGTATTCTAACTACCGAAAATGAATATCCATCATCTCATCAAAATAACAAAGAGAACTTTGAAGTCGAAAGCAAAACTAAGATTAATTGCGCCAGAGGCCAACGAAACAAGACCGCAAATAAAGAGAACGCGAACCTTGAGCACCGTATCTGACAAAACCAATCGGACATCGGATAAAACTTGACCTAAAAATGTATTTGATGAAACTATGGACACTTAGTTTTGATCTCCAATTATAAACCTAAATTGACCTATGACATTATTTGGCAAAACGAGATATGGCAAATGGACATAGACACAGATAACCATAAAGTTATTAGCCTATCAAACCAACTACGGAGAAATGAAGGGTCTTGGGCTTGAATCAGCCCCAGGCATTTCATTTATGAAAGGATTATGGCGCAATGAGTGCCGCACTATTCTAGAAAGTGTTGGTAGATTTCACATATCCTGAAATATTTTATTTCTTATATATGAAGGTGTTCTTACATTGTTTTCTTTCACTTTCCGAACACGTGGTAAATCAGTAAATTTAACAATTTTATTGATGAGTACACAGTCCACCTGATGGTAAGTGGACGCCGTGGCCCTATGGGCCATCCACATTTATCCTCAATTAAGGATCAAAATGCAAATGCGTTGTAACCCGTGAGGACTAAGATGGAATGCCTCGATTCCAGTAAAAAGGATTTCCGGTTCTGTACACTCACCATACGAAACAGAAAAGTTAAGCTGCTATTTTACGCTGGTATTCTGTGAGAGCGTGGTCCTGCCCCAGTCGAGCCGAACAATTCGTGCTAAAACTATAATTAAGCTGAAGTGTGGCTCCACTAAGAAAGTACAAGACTTGAGTAGTGCGATAGTGAAGTTTACGGCGAGCACTTATAGTATTACTTCGCTTAACCCTTAATTACAACGACACATAATATATTTATCACATAAGAATAGAAATAAAGTAATAGAAAAAATAAAAAAACATATTTTTAAATATAACGTTTACGTAGCTTTTTTGGACACTTGAATGTAGAGCAAATGAACAAAGATCTTTTATAAGAAATGAACAAATGCAATTTGTTTACATACTTATTCGATAGTAGGCGCTCTTACAACCGTAACAGTTACCTTTACAGTCTATAAAAGTCCAATGCTGAACATAAGCCCCCCCCCCCCTAGACTGGCTCCTTGCCACCCCCTAGACTGCCTCCTTGCCACCCCACCTAGACTGCCTACTTGCCACCCCCTAGACTGCCTACTTGCCACCCCCCTAGACTGCCTCCTTGCCACCCCCCTAGACTGCCTCCTTGCTACCCCCTTAGACTGCCTCATTGCCACAGCTGCCACACTTGGCAGGCGGGTTGGCAAACGCAGTTTTTATTTTTAGTCGTTATTAGGAAGACGCTGCGACCCATCTCCTGATTTGTTTCCCTCTGTCGCTTTATAGGACACCCACAGGATGATACGGGGTAGTGGATATTCTTACACCGCCACTACGCGGTCTAACAACATTGCTGTATTATCGACGATTATTTAACTAATGGACTTTACTAAGACTTCAATGATATAACATTAATCCTAGATGATATCTTATGTAAGAAGATACTAAGGAAAATCTTACAGTTGCATTACATAGACACGGCCGTCATCATCACGGCATGTTAAGCTCCGTACAAAAATTTTGAAGCAATATGTTTATCAGCTTAATATTAATCCATCGATAAAAATTTGTTTATCGATAGTCTCTCAAATTTAGTTTTTGACAGATATTGCTAATAGTTGCATGTGACTTTTTAATGAGGCAGCAAGGATGAAGCGGCGACAAAGACGTAATTGATTTTTTACAGTTTTTTTGTTGTGTAGGTATTGCGTTCTTGTGCAAGAATATCAACATAAACTGTAGCGTAGTAAAAAAAAATAGTATTCATATGTATATTTTTATATTTGTCCTCTGGTTAAAGCGAAGATTTAACCAAGATAAACCAAGATACGAAATACAAAAAAATATTTATTTATTTTTGTTAAAAAATGGAAATGCTTTATCAGTCGTCTTCTTTAAACTGCACACGCCTCACCACTAATAGAATAGATAGATAAAAACATACTATTAAACTTAAGACAATTTAAACAATAATACGGCAGGGCAATCATAGACGAGTAAATATAATACACTCTATAATAACAGACGAAAATTTTGGGTTGAATGGTCTGAGCGAAGACTATATCGTAAAAAAAATCGCGTGACAATAAATTTAAATTTACTTTTCAGATCTCGACGCACAAATGGCATATCCCACGGCCGTCGTTGTCCGGTTGTAGCACGCCAGGCAGCATAGATGCGCGATCGCGTGGCGGCTCCGCCTCGAGTCAAGGCTCTTCTAGTAATCACAGCACACACGTATGACTAACTTATCATACTTTATAATCATCCGTCTTTGAACCCGTCTCTGCCCACCACTAAATAGGACCACATTTTTCAAGACGAATAATCACATTAAAAAAGTAACATCCTTAAGGTGACTTGTTAATCGCTGATTTTTGGGGTTAAAAACCTTAGTTTACTATGTACTAGATCCGGTACACGGAAAATTTTATTAATTTGATCGTCGACGGCGATAGCACGATTTTCAATATTTTTTAAATAAATAAATAAGTTTTTATGACAATGTATGATTTAAAGTAAAATAAATATGTTTAGTATTTATATTTAAGGAAGAATTTCCTTTAAGATATGCCACATTTACGTAAATTAAAAACATGAAAAATAACTTTAACCATAAATTATGTATTAAAGGTGTAGGTACCAAGAAAATGTAATGCAAAATGGTTCTTCAAAATGTCCGGAACCTCAAGAAAGATTATTTCGATTATTCTTTGAAAGGTGTAAAAAGAGAAATAATATATTGTCTACTTTAGAAGTTTCGGCACTCGGTCCACTTCGTGGTAAATACTGTGGCCCATAGATTAAGAATCAAAATTTAGATGCGTTGTCCTCGCTGAGGACTAAGATGGAACGCCTCGTTTCTAGTAAACAGGATCTCCGGATTTTCCACACTCAAAATACAAAGCAAAGTAGCTATAAGCTGCTATTTTACGCTATTGTTCTGTGAGTGCGTGGTCCTTTCCCGTTCGAGCCGACCTATTCGTGTTTATAACTGTATTGGCAGCATTATTCTACCTAGTAGAATAACCATGACGGAATATTTTGTTACCAGTAAATAAGAAGTACAGCAGCATTATACTGCTATTTAATGCTGATATCCTGTTGTGACCCAACTAAAATTTAATAAACATTTCTTCACCCAGGTGATCTAGAGCAACTTCTTACAATATTTTAAAATCTTTCAGAGTGCCTCATCGGGCTCACTATTATTAAGTGCAGTACACTTGGCACACATGGACGGCAAGAACACTGGCCAACATGAGTACGGGCATCAGAATAAATCAATTGGATTTGGACGGAAAGCGCAAATGACCAGCACTGTGATGGCCATCCCAGAGGAATCACGAGAAATTACGGACAAGTTTTGGAACGACGTAAAGCGGGGATCATCATCTGGGCAAGACGTCGCATCTGTCGCTAGCTCAACTCACTTCACGGTAGTGAATGGGTTCACGAAGCAACGATCAGAGAAAGAGCCGAAGTCTTGTTGTTGTAATCATTCCCACCAGATCACTGTACTAGTCATATCGATGACTATACTGCTCTCAGCATGCATCCTTGCGGCTATTTGCTTTGTTGAAAGTAAGTAAAACTACTGAAAATGTTAAACAATTTCTTATATTCCACTTTGCACGTTTACTTCATATCTATGTAGTGTTAATCTTTGATCAATAAGTAAAAGTAATAATTCTTGAACATTAATATTGGAGCTCTATATAGCTTACTTTAGATTTAGGTGCTTTTGTCCCATAAACTGCATATACTCAACGACAGTGACACAAACCCTTTCTGATGGCAAATTATAACTACCTTTTGGCTATATCTGTTGGTGGAACATATGTGTCGATCTCATGCGGGTGGTAGCTGAAGGGAGGATCCGAGGAGACTCTCAAGGCTGCGGCCGAAAGCCGCGCAACGTGGGACCCCATTTCCTTGAGGTGAGCGGTAGACTCATGACACGCTCTGCGGCTAGTAGCCATGCTGATCATGCAATCGAAGGTAATGCCGTACACTTACATCACGTCTGCAGCAACGGCGGTCTAGCATGTTGTGGCGCTTCACGGAGGGCTTTTTAAGGCCACAATAAGTGCAAAGACTAAAATATGTGGAAAATTAGAGAATCATCAATCATCATCATAGTGACAATTACAGCCCATGAATCCACTGCTGAACATAGGTGTCCCCCAAAAAATGCAACAAAGCACGAATCTGATTCAACCGCGTTCGTGGATTAAAAACACTTTCGAAACATCGGTACAATTTCATCTAAATGAATTGACCAGATAATTACATATAATTTTATTATATTACGAATAGGTTTTTTTATTGTTCATGATCCAGTGAATATTTATGAACATTTTAAATAAAATATTTCGTATCAAAATCTCAAAATATGCAATGGTTTTGTGTTTAATTTTCCATAGGTTGATTTAAAATGAGAAATCTGAAATTTTTATCGTTATTGCCGAGAAACATTCATTATTTAAATTTAAATATTTTATTTTTCAGTGAGAATGCGTAAGGAGACCGGCATCTACAGATATTCTTAAGTTTACTGCCAACTCGCGAATCGCGGAAGTATTTAGTTAATATTATATATTAAAATTTATCAACGCAAACGCGTAAAAGCGAAATTCCCTATACTACAATGTATATGATAATTATAGAAAATTTTAAACCCAAATAACTCTTGTAACTTATAAACGTAAGCACAAGTTCTAGTAAAGATGCTATCAAAAGTGCAATAATAATTAACCAGTTTAAAATTCGAACAAAGTAGATTATTAGTTACGTAAGTTAACAATTATTTATTTTCAGTGCTCAAAATTGTATAACCAGTAATATTGTATATTCAACGTGTATGGTGAAGTGATTGTGATGTTTGTCGTTTCTAGTACCATAGTAAAATTGTAGATTCCAGTACATTCAAATGTTTTAAATAATGTTTGACATTTTGCAAATTGATGTGTAATATATTAATCTTAGTGTTTTTATTTATGATTATTTAATTAACTGCTAGTATTATTACAGTACAACCCAAGTAATTTTGTGTGTGTTTTACATTAATATAAGGAAGAATAAAATATGTGTATTTTTGTATAACTTATGAAAATGTACATATTTTTAAATAAGTGTAATTCGTAACTTACTTTACTGCTATTAGTTATATAGAATTGTAAAAAATAAAGAGGTAGCATAATTTGGAAGGACTGTGATAATTGAACACAAATAATTGTACTTTGTATTGTTTTCAATGTTCAATACTAATAAACGTGTACCTACATGGAAGGCTATTTGTTTACCCCCTAAAACCTAATTCACTTCAATCTTATTATAGTAACTCAACAAAAAGAAATGAAAACATCACAGAGAAATAAATCTCCAAAGGAGACAAATTCTTATTGTATGGAGAAAGGGCCCACTACGAATTGTGGCGTAACATGAAAGAGTGTTATAGTAATAATAGATAATAGATTACAATAGTGATATTAGTTTTACCTCATCAATCGGGAATACTGAGAAATTAACAATTAAAATATGAATATCACCAATAACCTAAAAATAAAGCGATTGACTAGTAGTTTTCACCAGTATTATAAGTTAAAATAGTGCACTGTTCAATAAATAATAGTGTAAAACAAAGTTGTTGGTTATTCAAAATTTATAGGTACTTTAAGATTGATAGAAAATTCTTTTAGTAGTTCCGGAAAAACATAGTGCACAAACAAACAAACGTGGTGTAGAAACTATTTTTATATGTATTGATTGATTAATAATTATTAATCTCAAACCCCATTACACTAATTAAATAAATATGATTAAAGCCAAGATGACTGAGATATAAGATGAAGATGAGTAAATAAATACAAAAAAGCAGCAACGTGACGAACGCCAATGCCGTATCCCGGAAGTCAATGACAAAATGGGGGTATTAATACGTTTCGCTCCACGGTCACTTCGAACCATATCATATGATATTAACTTTTATAAATAGTATTAAAAACAAGTTTTTTGCCATCTCTTTTTAGTAATAAATATATAATATACAAATACACAATATATGTATATAATGTTATCGTTTTCAAAAATCTTTTAATTATACAAACTGCAAAATGCTTCTTTACACGCATGTGTTTTTCATATTACATTAGCCAGAACACGAATATAAAAACAATTCTTTTTTTTTCAGATTTCATGATTCCGGTTAGATTTTCATAAAATCTTTAGGCCGTTTACTATAATAAATTGGTATCTTTTTTATGTAATAAGTAATAACATTAAGTTACGTTAAATTTCTAGTGGGCCCAAAAACTCATTCTCCTTTGTTCCGTCGTCATATTTAAATCTATCCAAAAAACCTTTTCACGTATATAGAATAAATATACATAAGCAGATTCTAGTCGTAGTTTCTGTAAAAAATATCTTTCAAGAAGTTACTTTTAATATTTACGCGAATACGACACTTAGTATTTTACTAAACGGATTAATTTTATTAAATTTAAGTTCCCGATGATGATGATCATCATCATTACAGCCCCTCACAAGTACAATGTGTACCACGACTGTATACAGGTATCCCGAAAGGGATACCACAAAACACTAGTGAACCACCTGCATCCATCGGCTTCTTGCACGTTTTTCAAGCAATGGTGGGACAAGGCTGCAGCGAGTTGCAACAGCACAAATAGAGAAAGCACAAAAGTGCATAACGACCATTGAAGTAATATGTACTTACGTACTACAACAGCTATCTCAAACAAAAAATGTGGTTTGGTTCACGCGGTAATTTTTTTTATCATAGAATAAACATAGTACATAGAATGATCCGTAGGTCATAGTAGATTGTATTGTTAAATAGGTAAATTATATCGAGAACAATATTTAAATTTTGTCATTTATTTTGTATATTATATTTGCTTATTTAATATAATATTACATAATATTGTATCACAATTACATTTTAATGATATTTTTATCTTAATATTTTAAAAGGTATCTATGTCAAATATTAAAAAAAAACGTACTAAATGTATGATAACAAAACTTATAACCATAACATTTAAATTATCTACAAATATAGTTATTTAAATTAGAATAAGAGTCGTTCATAAATGCTGGGCACGCGAAAGTTAAAAATGGACGAATTTATTCCAATTTGACTTTAATGTGGAAACCTAAAAATAAAATAAAAGAATAATAAGCATATTTAAACATGAAAAATTTTGCCTAATTATAATAACTTATAAATGTTTCTACAAAAAAAATGTGTATAATAATATATTCGCCCTATACTTAAGTACCCACAGAAATGTCGCATCTGAACATTAATTTCATAATCTATATCCATGACACGAAATGGCGTCTTAGGAATAATTTGTTATTATTAATCTTTAATACTTTTATAATTGATCTAGTATCTTATTAACCGATGAAAAGTAATTCCTTGTTTTTTACTAATATTTCTTGAATTATTTGTGCAATATCTAAGTACACACGACAGCATATTTTTATCAAGAGATTTTTTTTTAAATCAACACAACACGTGACAACTCTACAAGCGCCTAGCGACTGACTGATTAAAGTGCGGTGTATGCACCGCAGTTGAGTGGAACAGAGTAGCTGAATGCAGTGTCGCTTCTAGTACGTAGTGCATAATAGCTCAATGATAACGACAATCGTTTAGAGCCCTAAATCCTTTTTTCTAAAATGTCATAGTTTTAAATTAAAAAAAAGACGCAAATATTAATGGCGGTCGGACATATGGTAAGATCTACATAGCGATGGTATTCGGTGATGCTGTATACTTACGACTCTGTATAGCCTTGGTATGCTTTGCGTGAGTGTGACGCCGAGATCTATTTAATAAATAATATATGACTAACTTTACACTACGCTTTTGCCGTACACAAAAAGTCCAAATACATTTAATAATTCAACTACAGGAATTAAATTTTTAATAATTTTTACATGTGATTTTTTCTTCAAAGCACGCGTTTCATCATTTTTTAATTTACCTTTTTTAATTTGACATCAAAACAACATTAACTATTAAGGAACCATTTAGAAATACTTTATCTTACTATGAATGGCCGAGTTTTCATTTATTACATATATATTGTAGATAAGCCACGACACCATAAATAAAGGATAAAATGTACAATACTGCAGCAAGATCGACAATGCTCTAGCGTATAGTTGATAGCTCCGTGGCGCAGCTTAGCGTTGAGTCGCGGCGCCGAATGCTGCACGTTCAAATCCCTTACGGAACAAGTATTTGTATGGCCTACAATGAATTGTTCCGGGTTAATAAAGAAGAAAATCCTAGTGTGGGTAACATATTTTTAAAAAGAGAAAAAGATATAATCTATAACAATTTTTTCCAAATGAATACGAAAGTATATATTTTTTTATATGATAAGGATGACAAACGAGCACACAGTCCACCTGATGGTAAGTGGTTGCTGTGGCCCACAGACATCTACATCTATCCTCGATTACGAATCAAATTGCAGATGCGTTGTTACTCATGAGGTCTAAGATGGAATGCCTCGTTTCCAGTAAAAAGGGTCTCTGGTTCTCTACACTCACCATACGAAATACATCAGCATTAAGCTACTATTTTATGCTGGTATTCTGTGAGAGCATGGTCCTTCCCCGGTCGAGCCGACCCATACGTGCTACAACTATACCTTTAATATAACTGCAGCATGGCTCTACCACGTAAACGTAACACTCATCTGGGAAACTATCTACTCCGCCCAGAAGAAGTGAAATTGCTCACGGCTAAGCAACTCCTTCTATTCGTTGAAGACATAGGGCTTAGCCGTGAACTATAGCCATAGCAGCGATCACAATAGATCTTTTAGGTCGCAGTGATACTGGTCTCTTTCCCTAGCCTTTAGCTATGCAGGTCGCATAGCTGTTCGCACATAATAAAAAATGGCTCTACCACGTATAATACGGTACTTATATAAAAAAAAACATTTTTTTTAACTTTTTGTCTCTGTTGTACTTTTATTTTAGTATATTCCGGTCCATCTTTGAAATAGCTGGACTGATTTAGACGGTCGATTGTCGATGTCGATTTGGCCGATAGCTAATGTTATAAGGAGTAACTTAAGCTACTTTTATTTCAGAAAAATAATTAGGGTGCCGCGTTAAACAATTAAAACCCATAATATTGTGAAAAAATCCGATTGAAAGAGTAGCATAAAAGGTTCCCTTCAATCTGCTTGCCAGAATGAATCGTTCAATCAATTCCCCCTACAAAGGAAAACTTTAATAGGCTGATGACGATAATAATGTTAAAAGGATGATGATGTAATCGCAATACTTGTCATATAACATTATACATAACAAATTAATGTATGAAATACTAGCGCAGTTAAAGGGCTACCGTTGCGTCAACCGTGTTTTTACTATTGATGAGAAAAAATGTCTACAGATCTATTTAATAGAGTACTGTGGAGTTTATTTTAGGTTATCTCTATCTGAAGTACGTAAACTGGCATAGGATTTGGCGATAAAAAATGGAAAAACATTTCCTGAA